ATAAAGCACTTTATCAATGACAACAGGTATGCTTACTCCTGCCTGTGGAAAAAAGGAGAAATTTTACAGAGGATTAGTAATAGCCAATCATTCACATATACCTCTATTAGGGAGATGTGAAGTATTTGGAAAATTATAAAATGGAGGGGACACTGAAGTCCTTTGTCCAGGGTTATTCAGCTTGTGAGTGATGCAGTGAGGATGTAACCCTGAGCAATTTGGCCCAAGTCCACACAATGAATTCTTCAGAGCTGTGCCTTGAAGTCATTGAGAAGGTAGGGAATGGTATTCTAGACAGAGGGAACAGTTCATACAAAAGCAAAGAGATGCAAAAGGACATTTCGTTTTGGGAAGTGAGCTCAGTGTGGCTGAATCACAAAGAAATCAAGTAGTAGGCATGAAGCTAGGGAGGCAGACTGGGACCAGAGTGTAAAAAAAGATTTTCTCTGAAGGCAGACCCTTTCGAAAAACAAATTTTACTAGGTAAGCACTCTTATCATTGAGCTACTCCCCCAGCACTTTATTTTATACACAATAGGTGAAAGAGTAGCAAGGGCACTTGTTTGGCTTCTGCCTGGCCTTCCACCAACAGTTTTTCTGTAGAAAGAGCCTGCCATCTCTGAATGACAAAAATGGAGTTGCAGGAGTATGAACTCTTAAGTTAACAGCAAATCCTGGCTCAATAACTAACTGGGAAACTAGATGCTTAAGCTCTGTGGTTCAGCCTCCTCACATATAAAATGGGATTAATCTATCAAATCACAAGGTTGCAAGGAGTGAGCTAATAAGTTAGTATCTACAAAGCTCTTGCACAGCTATATGCACTCCTGAGGCAGCACTTTGGATGGTAAGTTGAGAGTGTGGAAAGACCACTTAGATCTTATGAGAGAATATGGAGGTTTTTGAGGTCAAACTGGTAGGATTTGGTGACAGCTTGCAGTAGGTGGGATGAGAGATTTGCTGAGGATGATAAGTTTTTAGTTTAATCACTGCTTTAATATGGAATATATTTACCATCGGCATATTTCATACCAACAAATGTAGGGCACTAGATGTGGTAAGACATAAGAACCTACAATCAGATTTGGGAGTTACAAATGGGTTACCAAAAAAAAAAAAAAAAAAAAGGCAATGTAATAAGGGGGCAGATGCTAAAAGCCACGGCCACATTTTCTTTCACCCTCTCACAACCAACTTGTGTTTTAGCCATCCCTAAATCACCTGCAATTCCAGTGAGATACCACATTTCCCACAATTTCATGTCTGGTACCTTTTTTTTTTTTTTTTTGATGGTAGTGGTACAAGGGATTGAACACTGGGCTATATCCCCTGGCTTTTCTTTTTCAATTTTGAGTCAGGGTCTTGCCAACTTGTGAGGCTGACATCAAACTTGCAATCCTCCTGCCTTAGCCTATTCATTACCTAATTCTTTTTGGATCCTTATTTACTTTTTATATGTAGTGCCGAGATCAAACCCAGTGCTTCACACATGCCAGCCCCTGTTACCCAATTCTTACTCTTCTTTAAGCCCTTGTCTGATTCGTCCCGTTTTCCCTAATATTTTTTTATTTGTAGTTGTAGATGGACAGCATGCCTTTAATTTGCTTTTATGTGGTGTTGAAGATCAAACCCAGTGCCTCACATGTACAAGGCAAGCACTCTGCCATTGAGCTACAGCCTCAAGCCCTCCCCAATAATTATTTTTTAAATATTTATTTAAAAAAAATTTTGTTGTTGTTTTAGGTGGACACAATATCTTTATTTTTATGTGGTGCTGAGGATTGAAACCAATACCTCGCACATGCCAGGCCAGCGCGCTACCACTTGAGCCACAACCCCAGCCCCACAATACCTTCATTTTATTTATTAATTGTTAATGGACCTTTGTTTTATTTGGTTATATGTGGTGCTAAGAATCGAACCCAGTGACTCACACATGGTAGGCAAGTGCTCTGCCAATGAGCCACAATCCCAACCCAATACCTTTATTTTTATGTGGGGCTGAGGATCAAACCCAGGCCCTGCCCGTGATAGGCAAGAGCTCTACCGCTGAGCCATAATCTCAGTCCCCTAATAATTCTTATTGTGCAACAGATGCCCTTTTTTTAAAAACATATTTTTTTTAATTTTAGGTGGACACAATATTTTTATGTGGTGCCGAGAAACGAACCCAGTGCCTCATGCATGCTAGGCAAGTGTGTTACCAATTGAGCCACATCCCCAGCCCTGCCCTTCTTGTTTTCAAAGCACCTATTACATGTTACCATTGTTCTATCCATGCCCCTCTCCTGAAATAGAGTAAGTACCTACGTAGAAACTATTAGGAATACTGCCAAAAGTACACCTTTGTCAGATTTGGTTTGGGGGCTACTATAGACACGTACTAATCCTCAGATAATGGGTAAAGTGTAGGCTGGGGAAGGCAGAGAATGAGTCGAGCTGCCTTGGTGTTAAGTAGGAAGGAGCAAAGGCATTACCAACTTAACTGACATGCAAACTATAGTGTCATTTTTTCTAATGGCCACATTAAAAATGTAAGAAACATGTGAAGCCAAATATGGTGGCTCACACATTCAATCTCAGCAACATGGGAGGTTGAGGCAAAATAATAAGTTCGGGGCAAGACTCAGCAACTCATATGAAAAGATTCTGTCTCAAACTAAAAAATAAAAAAGGCAGTAGGGTATAACCAGGTGAGGGGATGCATACCTGTAATCCCAGTGGTGCAGGAGAAACTTGGATTCAAAGCCAGCCTGAGCAACTTAGCGAGGTCCTAAGCAACTCAGCAAGACCCTGTCTCTAAAATATAAAAAAAGGGCTGAGGATGTGGCTCAGTGGTAAAGCACTCCTGGAACCAAAAAAGGGGGGGGGGCTAGAATGCAACTCAGTAACAAAACGCCCTTGGGGTTCAATCCCCAGTATCCCCCCTACTCTGAAAAAGGATGAAATTAATCCAACATAAAAATGTACTTACTTCAACAAATATTTTACTATTATTCTTAGAAATATGTTTTATTTACATCCATAGCACAGCTCAATTCAGACTAGCTATATTTCAAATACTCAACCACATATTAGTGGCTTCCTATTGGACAGCTCAAGGTGAGAGAAAAATATTCTCATGGAAGAATGGATCCAGATTACAGGTGTGCCCCACCACACCCAGCTATGTTGGAGGCTGGGGCAAGAGGATTACAAAATCTAAGCCCTTTGGTAATTTATACCCACCCCTCCCCCCCAAAAAAGTAATGTAGGTTCAAACCAAAGGGTCTGAATGCCCCTAAATAAAATGGAAAGCTTTAGGATTTTGAGATAAAACAATTTTTATTTAATTTTGGACAGGGTTCTCTCACTAATTTGCTGAGGCTGGCCTTGAACTTGCATTCTACCTCAGCTCCCCTTTGCTGGGATTACAGGTATGCACCACCATGCCCAGCTAGCAGCATACTACATAGGATTAAAACTGAAGACAGTCCTCACTGCCACTATATGGATTCATTTCAGTGAGGCTGTTCCAGAGCTAATTTCTGATGGTACAGACTGCTTTCACAACCACATATTTCTGTCTCACCAATAGATCTGCTAGGTAAATCAGGGCAGCAGTATAAAAATGGCTCCCTTCAGATGACACTTGGTTGGTAAGGTTGCATCTTTTTAGAGTTGTGCCCAGGCATGGTGGGGTACTAAAAGAAATAGCCTTTGATAGTGCTGACAAAAGCTGAGATTCAGCAAAATCATCAAATGAAGATTCATGTACCGTAGGTGCAGTATCCAGGGCTGTCTCAGAACAGTTTATTTAGATCCCTCTAATCATAGCATGTGCCCCAACTGGATTCCTATTTAGTATTCTTCAGTCTGCCCCTTTACAATATACCTTTCCATGTCAACACCCTTTCCCTCCCCCAGAGCTTTAAGGTTCCAAGCCAGTTACCAGCTAAGCCAAAGACTTATTTGCTTGACATTTGCCTTACTGCCTTTCCAGGCATTAATCTGAGGCAGGGACAATTTACAGAATGCACCTCAGACTGTTCTTGGCAGAAAAGGAAGTGGACACTTATCTTGAGGGCTGAAGGGACTCCTCCTAGGCATAGTATCACATTTTCCAACTTAGAACTTTTTTTCCATTACTCTGGATCAAACCCAGGGGTGCTTAACCTGAGTTAAAGTAGGACCAGCTCCTACTTTTTCTTAAAGATCTTTTAAGACAGGATCTTGCTAAGTTCTCAGGCTGGCTTTAAACTTGGGATCTTCTGAGTATCTACATTACAGGCATGTGCCACCACAGCTGGCCCAACTTTTGAACTTTTGAACAAGGCTGGAGATGTAGCTAAGAGGTATAGCACTTACCTAACATGTACAAGGCCCTGGGTTTGATCCCCAGAACTACCCTTTTTATTTTAAGACAGGGTCCAAGTTGCTTAGAACCTTGCTAAATTGCTGAGGCCAACTCTTGAACTTGCTCCTTCTACCCCTCAGCCTCCTAGCCTCTGGTTTTTTTGGTTTTTTGTTGCCTTGCAGGGCCCCGGCTTTCCTTTAAAAAAAAAATCTACACACACAATTTTTCCTCATACAAATATTGAATTTGGTTTCAGTATTGAAATAATCTTTAAAACCTGAAGTCTGCTAAACAATTTATGAAGGAAGTACAGATAAATCCTTAATGTCCTTTAAGCCTTTACAAAGATAAAAATAAACTTTAATAGGTTCCTAAAAGGAAAAAATTTTAAGAACGTCAGCCAGTTGCTGGGGCCTTGAATTCTTAATCCTTCTGCCTCACCTCCTGAGGGGCTGGGGATTACAGTCAAGCCACCATTTTCAAAAGCAGTTCACTATGTTAAAATACAACCTGTTTGATCTTAAGTTGCCTTTTACTATCAAGATGATACAAGTCTCAACACTGCTGTGAAGATTAAACAATGTACAAGAAAGTGATTTATAAACTATGAGTAACATCAAATTTTTGTTGGTGCATTAGAAATATTCTTGGCCTTTCCATGCAGGAACAGCTGGAGGAAATGGAAGAACGACAGAGGCAGTTAAGAAGTGGAGTGCAACTCCAGCAACAGAAGAACAAAGAGATGGAGCAGCTAAGGATCAGTCTTGCTGAAGAGCTCTCAACTTATAAGTCAGTTTTTGCTGCCACTCAAATCTCATCTAACATTAGTTGAGGGGAGGGGGAAAGCTCGGGAAAAATTTCACTTCACAGTAGAAAACAAAAAATGATCTGGGAAATGATTTTCAAATTGTGCTCATCCAGGAACAGATGGAAAATGGCTCTCTCTTTTTAAAGGGCTATGCTTCCCAAGAGCCTGGAACAGGCTGATGCTCCCACTTCTCAGGCAGGTGGAATCGAGACACAGTCTCAAGGTGATCTTTGTGGGTAACAGAGTGGTATTTGTATTGTTTCTGCTTTTCTAACAATACTAATTATTGTCTTTTTTTTCCCCCCACCCCTAATGTGACCTAATTACCATTAGGAAATCTGTAAACAGATAAAACACCTAGGCTCTGAGCATTCTCAGTTCTTTACCCTACCCCACCCACACCTCCTGTTCAGTTTCCTCAGTATAAATCAGAAGGCAGCTGTGCTATCAAATTCAGACCATGACAAAGGTGGCCAACAAGAGGGCTAAATTAAGTAAGTCACAAAGCTGTATTTCAGACTTTTAACTTAGGGCCTAGCAAAACTGAAAGAATTTTTCTTAATAATGAATTATTCCAGACCCCTGGGATCTTATAACATGTCCTTATTCTTTATATATAAAGTCTAAATTCCCTTAAAAAGTCTGTCAGTTGTGCACTGTTATCAATGCCCATTTCTTCCATTTATTTCCTACTTAAACTTACATCTTGGATACAAAATCACAAGTAACTATTGGAGCCAATACTCTACTTTCTAGGACTTTCTTTTACTGTGTCTTATCTAGATATAATTTATTATGCTTATTGTTGGATTAACTACAAATTGTGGGCAATGATCTTTCAAATACCTCTGTATGAACAGGAAAAGAAAGACAATGCTCATTTCTAAAGAAATGAAAGTGGCCAGGTACAGTGGCATGTGCCTGTAATCCCAGTGGCTCAGGAGGCTGAGGTAGGAGTATCCAAAATTTGAGGCCAGTCTCAGCAATGTACTAAGGCCCCATCTCAAAATAAGGCCAGGGATGTGGCTTAGTGGTAAAAGCCCCTCTGAGTTCAATTCCCCAGGACTGGGAAGAGGGGGGGGGAAATACTCATGTGAAGTACTCCTGAGAGAAATTTTAACTACCCCAGTCTTCACCATCATATAGATAACCATTCGTTGTTTTGCAAGTATGAGGCTTCTAAATATTTGCTAGGGCAATGTCACCCCTGATCATATGTAAATTATATTTCTCAACATAGCCTGTAGAAACTAACTTTAGAAGTTCAATATTTCTAATGGTAGTATTTCAAGTTGTAGAAAGTATAAACTTATTCTTTTTCTTTTCCTTAACCTTACAGGGGCTGTTTAGAAATGTATGGCCAAATCTGTAATCCAGAAACAAAAAAAACTTATTAGCAAAGGATCACTGAATACCCTTGTGACACACTTCTTCCCAAATGGACGAGAGTACCAGAATTTGATGAGCAATTCACCTGTGGAAATTGCAATATTGGCTTAACTGTATAAAAAGATTTTAGGAGTGGCTGGAAGCAGAACACCAGTCAACTTTTAGCTGGATCCTACTTTGTAGGCTGCTGATACTGATCTCAAAACACTGAGGAATGGAAAAATGCCTTTTATCTGCCAGCAGCAACGCTCACATGCAGAGTAAATGATGAATGTATGGACACATCTTGAAGTATTGTGAAAAATGTATTTTGCCTTATGTTCACCCAAACCAAAAACATGTTTGGAACAAAACTGGGGTCAAAAAGGCAACTGTTAGAATTCTTTTGTGCCATGAGTGTTAGATTTTAAATGAATCCTCTTATATAGTTTACTTTTTCTTAAGGGCTATACATATTCACATGGTATATTCTTAAAAATTGTGTCAAAATAATTTTCACTATACTCTGAAATAACTGACTTGGAGAAAAGGAACCCATCCAGATTTGAACCTCATGGTGTAAGATTTCAGATTTCCCAAAGACCTTTACAGTTTTGGGGTCTATTCCGCCAAAACAAAACTAAGTGACTGGAAAGAATCAGGCATGTTATCTTGTTTTGGCATTTGGTGATAGAGGTTAGAAACAACAGGTTCTAAAATCCTTTAAGTACAAACTCCAGTGAAAAACATACTAGGGAGAGGCAACCCTGTGAGATAAGCCTTAAACACCTTTCCCAAATTTAAATTCTGCCTTAAACACACTGCCTTTGAAAAATTTTTAGAGTCTGTGTTGTTCTCTAGGGTTAGACTTCAAAAAGATGTCATTTTATTGCACCTTAGTCTGTATATCTCTAGTTCTGTGTTTTATGTCTTGCACTTTTCCCTAGGAAGGAGTAAAGCTCTTTTCTATAGCTCTTGGCCTATTATATTTAATTCTACTCTTGATAGCTAGGGGATGGGTGTTTGATGGATGTTATATACTAAATAAAACCCATTGGCATAGGGCTATGTAGAAAAGCAATTTATTCCATTATAAGCACTTACACAGTTAGTCATGGGAGTAATAGGCCTGCTGATAAAACAGGTCACCCAAAATGCAGATGGTATCAAACTAGTGGTCAAGGACCAACTCCTAAAAAAAAAAAAAAAAAAGCAACTCTTATCAAGGATTAATTTAATTTTAAAAACATACAAGCTATCAATTCACTCTTCTCAACTTGACAGTATACCCGTGGTACAACTGTCAGGTAAAAACATACATCTTTACAACTTGGTGGTCCCAAGTTAAAAAAAAAAGAAAAAACCAAAAAAAAAAAACAAAACAAAACAAAAAACCATTTCACATAAAGGTAAGGAATAATATGAAAACAGCTCAAGAAATACACTAACAAGCAAAAATATATGGGAAAGGAGGAACATGTAGTTTTGACTTAACTGTAGAAATCAAGAGGAGACTGGTCTACATAGGAAAATGTGCATCCTGGAAAGTCAGGTGTGAAGATTTTAGAGTAGGAATCTATATGACTTGAATCTCCCCTAATTCCTGAATAAAAATGACATCTTGCGGTATTTATACTTCATGGCTCAGACACCTACCTCACTTGGCTCTATTCCTTACTCACTCTAGCTTTTACTTAAATGAGTCCAAAAAACTTGGGGATATAGCTTAAGAAGAAAAATAACCACACATAATATTCCCCTTTCTGTAGCTACTTTAGACCCGGGTTTGTTACTAGAAAATTCCTGAAGAAAATTTAAATAAGTCTGGCTTTGCTGAATAAAGTATCCCAGTTAATATTTAGAAAACACCCACTGTTTGGGCTAATAGCAATTGTTGGTGGTACCTATATAGAGGGATAGCTGAACAAAGTCTGTGTCTCAAAACCAGTGTTAAATCAATCTCAGGGTTGAGAGGGAAAAAAGGGGAGTCTAAAATCACAAGTGCAGACACATCTAGGATCCTTGTCCTTCAGGATCCACACTTCCTTCAGGATCTTCATCATTATAGATGTTCTCTGCCTGCCAAAAACAAGAAAAAACGGATATTTAGTAAACACGAAGGCTATTCTTTCTTTCTCTCTTTCTTTTGGTGGTGCTGGGGATTGAACCAATGGCCTTGTGCATTCGAGGCACACACTCTACCAAGTGAGCTATATCCCCAGCCCAAGGCTATTATTTCAAGTCAAGATTTCTAATTATTTGACTCTGCCATTGCTGGATAACTGCAGCTCTAAAGAATCTGTATTGTAATCAATCAAAGAGTGGGTATGGCTGCATTCCTCTAAAATAGGCAGCTGGTCAAAGGTCCCTGGATTAGGACATTCCCACAAAAAAAAGTTTGGATACTGCTTATCTTGATAACCAACATTCTTGAGTCCTCTCATCAGATATTAATAGCCCCAAAGTAAATACAAGCCAAGTGTCCACCAAATGATGAATGGAAAAATTATGTATCTCCACATTGTATGACCCCATTTTTAATATGTTCCAAATAGCCTAATTCACATAGTAAACAGATTGGTGGCTTCAGGCAAATTGTGTGTGTGTGTGAGAACTATGGAAATATAGAATCGATGGCTTATGGGTACAGGTTTCTTTTTGGGTTGATGAAAATGTTATAAAATTGGTTGTAGTGATGGCTGCACAACTCTTTAGTGTAGCAAAAACCACTGACTAATAAACCTGTAGACAAATAAAAAAAATTCACCTAAAAAGATCTTATGTCCAAATCTTGATTCGTTTTTAAAAAAGTGCTCTTACACAAAACACTTGATATTGCCAGAAGCATAACTTAAAATACAGAAACAACTTTCATTTGGGCAAAATGCATTGTTCTTAGAGAATAGACTGTACCCAAATTGCTAGGCTTGATGCTGCAGACGATGGGATAGTCTTTTACCTTCAGAATCTTGTGATGTGATTGCAGAGAAAAGGAATACATATCATTCCTAACACAAAATATGCTGTCTTTTTTCCTGACACCGAGTAGGCAAAACTCAATCCAATTCTAATACTAACTATCCAAGGTTAGCATCACTCAACAGGTTTAAGGTTCAGTCCCATAAGACTGTCCTGTTCTCAAATTAAAAAAAAGTTTTGCATGACACCCACATACATGGTTTGATAATTTGCTAGAATGATTCACAGAACTCAAGAGTTTGTTATTTTTCTCCCTAGTGCGGGGGATGAAACTCAGGGCCTCATGCATACTAGGGCTGATGTATAGCCCCAGTTCCACTTTTGCTTTGTATCAGTGTTTATTATAAAGCATTTAACAGAGAACCAAATGTGCAGAGTAGGCTCAAAAATTCCATTAAGTCCCTGGGCATGCCACTCTCCCAGCACGTCAATATATTTACTAACCTGGAAGCTCATCAAATTACGAGTTCAATCTCCAGATTTCCCTAGTCCCCTGGCTAGTAAGCGGGGGCTAAAAAGTTCCAAATACTTAATCTACTGTTTGGTCTTTCTGATGACTAGCTCACGAGGATATTTAGAGGCTCCACCAACCTCACCTTTACATCACAAACCCAGGTGTGGTCTAAAGGTTGTCTTGTTAAAATACTTGTTATTCAGTGTCTTGAGCAAAAAGACAGTTACCACTTTGAATATTCCAAGCATTTCTTAGGAATTATGCCAAGAAATGAGACAAAGATGAAATATTTACTTAGTATTATATCACATTTCTAAAAAGGTAATTAAAGTAACATTTGAGAATGGAGGACGTTCTAGGCCTTGGAGGAGATGTAGTTCTATCTCCTAAACATTTCCCCAACTACTACCAATATACCTTCAAATGATAATCTACCCACAGCAACCCATTTCACTTTCCCACCGGAACTCTTTAAAGTTTTTATGTTAATTTTGAATGGATGTATTACAAAGAGGTTAAGGTAGATTTTGGTGATATATTTCAAACATCTTTATTGTAAAAAATACAATATAGAAACATGAAGAAAAAAAATCAAGTACTGCCTAACTCGATATATTGAACACATGTTGGCAATCTTAGCGGGGTGTGTGTGTGTGCTGAGGATTGAACCCAGGAGGGTTTTACCACTGAGCTACATCCTCAACCATTTTTATTTTTAAATGCTTTTTAAAAAAATACCTTTATTTACTTTTATGGTGCTGAGGATGGAACCCAGGGCCTCATACGTGCTAGGTGAGCACTCTACCGCTGAGCAACAACCCCAGCCCCTAGTTTTGAGAGAAGGCCTTGATAAGTTGCTGAGGCTGGCCTTGAATGTGGGCCTGCTTCAGCCTCCCACGCTACTGAAATTACAGTTGGGTACTACCACACCCAGTGGAAACAGCCTCCTAAACAGAGTTGTCTCTTAGTATCCTGAGGGGGATTGCTTCCAGAACAGCCATCCCTGACAGGCTGCCAAAATATCTCGGTACTTAAATCATTTATATAAAATGGCATAATATTAGCATATAACCTACGCACATCTACCTGTAGATCTTAAGCCTTCTCTAGATTACAATTTCTAATATAAAGGCTGTGCATACAGAGATTGTCATTATTCCCTAAATAACATAATAAAGAAAAAATTTTGTACATGTTCAGTACATACACAATTTTTTAAAAAAATATTTTAAATCCATGGCTATTTTATTTCACCGATATGGAGGGGGCAGCCATAGTTATATACAATTAAACACAGAACTAGAGACACAAAATATTAATATGAAGGATACTATCATGTGGTTCTTTGATCTGCCTTTTTCCTATTTAACCTTACTTCTTTTTGATACACAATATTCACAAGTACAGAGGTAGTACAATTTAATTTCAAAGGCCATAAACACTATTTCATATCTTTAATAATACTATCCATTTTAAGCAAGTTCTGCTTATTAACATGTTCTTTCTCATGGTTGATTGAAAAGCTTTCCTCTAACCCAGCTATCCCAACTCCTCAGTTTATACCCAAAGGACATAAAATCAGCACACCACAGTGATGCAGCCACATCTATATTTATAGCAGCTCAATTCACAATAGCTAAACTATGGAACCAATCTAGATGCCCTTCAACAGATCAATGGATAAAGAAAATGTGCTATATACATAATGGAATATTACTCAGTCTTAAAAGAAGAATGAAATCATGGCATCTGCAGAGAAATGGATGGAACTACAGAATATTGTGCTAAATGGAACAAGCCAGTCCCCCCCAAAACAAATGCCAAATTGTTTCCTCTGATAAGTGCATGATGATGCATAGTGGGGGTGGGTAGGGAAGAATGAACTTTGGATTTTCAGAGGGGAGCAAGGGGAGGGGTGGGGCTGCGGGGATGGGAAAGATGGCAGAATGAGATATACATTATTCCCCTATACACTTTATATAATAGTGTATACCCTATATACACTACTGGTGTGACTCTGTACCATGCACAGCCAGTGGAATAAGAAGTTGTTCCATTTATGTATAAGGTGTTAAACTGCATTCTACTGTCATGTACAACTTATTGGAACAATTGTAAAATAAATAAATAAAAAAGAAAAAAATAACAAATGACTTTACTTCCAATCCAGAGTTCATCCTACCATATTTTACCAAATAGCAAAGTAAATGGAATGGGGTTGAGTTTGGAATGATGGACTAAATTGGAGACTATGTAAACAAGCCAAAATAAAAACTGTGTACTCTGATAAAAGAACAATAAAAACTTTTTCCTCTAGAGTTTCTTCCTAGTTCTAGATCTACCTAGACACAAAAAGACTCTTGGAATTGATTTCATTTATCATACTTCCATTAAAAAAAAAAAAAAGATAAAAAGTGGTAAAATACATAAACAAAATTATCTTAGTTGTTTTATTTGTATAGTTCAGTGGCATGAAGAACACAATGTTGTATAACCATCCAGAATGTATTTTTTTCCCTTTAGTGGGGTGGGGAGATTAAACTCGGGTGTTCTATCACAGCCTTTTTGAGACCCAGTTCCACTAAATTGCCCAGGCTGATCTTCAAATTGTGATCCTCCTGCCCTAGTCTCCACAAGTACTGGGACTATAGATTTGAGATACCATGCCGAGGAAGAATGTGACAATTTCTTTTACTACTACTATATTTAGACATTAGTCATTATTTATTTATTTGATAGTACTGGGAATTAAACCCAGGGGTTCTCTTACCACTGAGCCACATCCCTAGCTCTTTTTATTTTATTTTTTAAACTTTGAGAAAGGGTCTTGCCTAAGCTGGTCTCAAACTTACAATCCTTCTTGCCTCAGCATCCCGAGAAGTTGGGATTACAGGTATGTGCCATGAATTCAGCTATCATATTTTTAGTGCTGGGACTGAACCAGTGCCTTAGGTTAAGCAAATGTGCTACCACTGAGTTACACCCCAAACATGAATTTTTTTTTTTTAAAACCACTGGGTCCTGGGGACTGAACCCAGGGCCTTATGTACACTGATTATTTTTTATTAAATTAAGTGCTCTGAAATTTCAAAGGGTGACTGCCTAAAATTGGGGTATTTTTATAGTCTAGATGGGTTTCAGAGAAATCAGGTAGCATTTCAAGCTGTGATATACCTCCTACGGGCATACATATCTGTATTTATAAGAAGACAGAAGGGAGAAGCATTGCTGAAATAGTATGAAATCTGTTAAGTAAACTAGACTGACAGGTGAAAAGATGAAGACTCCTAGGATTTAAGTCTGGTTAGCTGAACAAGACATGGACACTAGTCAGAAAAAGGGATTGAGGAGAAGGAAAGGGGACTAAGGAGAGTGAAGAAAAGATCAGTTTTATTTGGTTGAGTTTAAAAATAACCAGCAGGGCAATCAGGTGAAGGCAGGTAAAGAATAGTTAAGAGGGGCTGAAGCTGTGGCTCAGCAGTAGAGTGCTTGCTTAGTAAGTTAGGCCCTGGGTTTGATCCTCAGCACCACATAAAAACAAAACAAAGGTATTAAAAAAAAATTCTCTCTCTCTCTCGACTCTCTCTCACTCTCCCTTTAAAAAAAAAAAAGAATAAAATATGAAATAGTATTTATCTAAATTCCCCCACTCAAAAGACCAAACACTTACCATTTGCCACACTTGCATGATATTGTCTTCTGATACAGAACAAATCACCCAAGGTTCATTGGGATTCCAGGAGAAATCAGATATCTTGGCAGTGTGACCACCATGAATAAACTATAATAGGGAAGAAAACAGATATGAAATGAGAAAGAAGACATTAAATTACAAACGATTGAAAGAAGTTACAGGCTGGGGTTGTGGCTCAGTGGTAGACTGCTTACCCTGCACATGTGAGGCACTGAGTTCAGGTGTCAGTACCACATAAAAATAAAGTTATTAAAAAAGAAGTTACAGATTATTTCAATATTGTTTACTGGTTATAACATACCAATAATTCTGGTGGGCCATCTTCTGCATCTTCTGGGGATTGTTCTTCTCCAATTTTACTAGCACAAAAAGATAATTTTAGAAGTTAAAAAAAGATTTTCCCCAAGTAACTACCTTGGGAAAGTGTAAATATAACTTCACAAAGACTAGAAAAATGAGAAATTATATCCCATCTGATTCAAATGTATGATATGTCAAGATCATTGTACTGTCATGTGTAACTAAGTAAAACAAAAAACAAACAAACAAAAAACTTCATAAAGAGAGTAACTAATACAAGACTTACCTTAAATCCCAGACATTCAGTCTACGATCAGTACCACTAGAAGCCAGAATAGTCTCATTGTGAGGTGACCATTGAACCTATACACAAGAATGAAGGAAACAGAAAAGACATGAATTAGGAAAACACACAGACAGACAGACAGAGACACACACACACACACACACACACACTCATTCTAAAGTTATAGTTAACAATTTAAAGATTTTATAAAAAGGAATCAAAAGTATTAAACATTATAGTTAAAATTGACAAATCTAATTTTTTATTAAAATACATTACTAGACCTAAGACATCAACTTCTATTTCATGTTATATTTTTATTTTTAGTTGTAGAGAACGCAATACCTGCTTTTATAGTTTTTTGGTTTTTTTTTTAAAATGTGGTGGTGGGGAAAAAAACCCCAGTGCCTCGTGCATGCAAGGCAAGAGAGCGCTCTACCACTGAGTCACAACCCCATACCCCCATTTCATGTTATACTTTTGAAGATCACACCTCCTTCCCTCCCTCCCTTCCTTCCTTTAGTATTGGGGATTGAATTCAGGGGCACTTTACCACTGAGCCACATACCTAGTCCTTTTTATTTTGAGATAGGATCTTGCTCAGTTGCAGAGGGTCTCACTAAATTGGTGAGGTTGGCCTGGAACTTTTGATCCTCCCATTTCAGCCCTCCACATCATTGGGATTATGGGTATATGCTACTGTGCTTGGCTAAATATATTGGCCATACTTCAACCACAGTATCTAATTCTGGCCTCTAGTCAAATGTAACCCACTTCTGACCTAAGTACTAAAATAACAGATGACACACATACAAAAATTACTTTCTTAAGTACTTATATGGAACTCTGTGGTACACATAAATAAGGCTGATGACAACAATAAAAATTCCTTATAATAATGATCTTAAGTGAAGACTTAAGACAAAATTCAACTAAATACATGCAACAATCACATATTATTTATTACTGGTTGGTAAGAAAGGTGCTGGCTCATGTTACAGAAAAGATGACATTACTGTAAACAAAGAATTTGGATAATCTTCATGCAATAACACCATTTTAAGCAAAGAACAAAGAGGGCAAAGTCAAAATACTCTTTGGGATAAAAAATAAGGTTAAGAGACAAGGTGTACAGAACTATGCCTCACCTAAAACCTAATTAAGATGCCGGCCACACTTATCCATTAGAATTAATCTGACTGCCCTCAGGTCCTTAACACAATAATATTTTATTATAATTTCAAAATAGGCCTTTCTTGCTATAAAAATTTAAGCCCTACAATTTAACTAAAAATTATGTAATTATACCTGTAACATATTCTTCACAAAGCCTTAACAAAAGCTTTGAACATAGTGCAACAATAAACTTTTTTTTTAGGGGTGGGGATTAAATCCACAGGTGCCCTTACCACTGAGCTATATCTCCAGTCCCTTTTTATTTTGAGAAAGGGTCTCACTAAACTGCCGAGGTTGGCCTCAAACTTGTGATTCCAACTGTCTCAGTCTCCTGAGTGGCTGGGATTATAGGCATGCAGCACCATGTCTGGCCACTAGTTTTCCTAACAACCCTGAAATACATAGATGGTCAACGAGCGCGCAGTTTGAAAAAGTAAACAACAAAGGAAAAACAACCCCAGTTCCCACAGAGAACAGTATATGCATATGGAATATTACTATTACTTTTGGTAAAAGAAAAAGCACAAATGTGCCTACTTGCACTCCCAAGTTTTCCTTTAACATCAACAAAAATTAAGCAGCAATGGCTTCTCTTACCTGAAATATTTCATCCTTATGTGATTCAAAGGAATGCAATTTAAGTTTCAGATTTCTCAGATCCCACAAGGCAACAGTCTACATGCAAAAAGAAAAGGAAAGCAAGACCAATTTATATTTTGTTTTGTTGTTTGAGGCAGTGGGGAGTGAACTCTGAGGCACTCTATCACTGAGCTACACCATGAGCCCTTTTCATTTTATTTTTGAGATAGGGTCTCACCAAGTTGCCCAGGCTAGCCTTGAACTTGCAATCTTCCTGTCTCGGCATCCTAAACTGGTTGAACTAATAAGAGGCGTTTATCATTGTATCCAACAAATGTTTTATTTTTTTAAAAAGAAAGAAAAACCCATTAACTCAAACTAACTCTGCACATTTAAAATGTAAAGAGATTCACAAACGTATTCTCTTTTTAAAAAAATTGTTATTTATTTATTTATTTTTTTGGGTGGTGCTGGGGATTAATCCCAGGGCCTTGTGCATGGGAGGCAAGGACTCTACCAACTGAGCTATACCACCAGCCCAACGAATTTATTCTCTTAGAACAAGTCAAACTTACCTTATCAGCTGATCCTGTGGCAAGTATGAACTCACTATAAGGATTGAAAGAGAGGCAGTTCACTTCAGCAGTGTGAGCATCTACTGAGTGGCTTGGTTTGGAAGTATTGTTTGAACGAGTATCCCAACTTTAGTGGAAGGGGGGAAAAAAGCAAAGAAAAAAGCTTTTGAAAAAGCTTACTAAATATAAAAAATAAGATAAAATATAAGAATAAAACAACAACAACAACAAAAAAACAATGGGTTCTACTCACATCATAAGTTTCTGATCATCAGCAACTGACCCAAACAGGGACTCATGGAGCAGATGCCAGGAAACATCTTCTACTACTGCTGTATGCCCTGTAAAGATGGTCTTCGCATCGACCACTTTTCCTTCCTTTGGGACGGCACTGATATCCCATAGGCAGATGGTCTTAAATGTAAAATTAACCATTATGTAAGAGTCTCACCTTCCCACAAATCCCAAAAAAGAAACCAACTGGTAACTAGCCCAGATTTACTTCAAAATTGGAAGGATACGCACATGGTCATCTGAAGCACTAAGTAAGTGCCCACTAAGATTTGGGTTCCAAGAAAGCCCATATCCTTCCTTCTGATGTCCACGGAGACGTAAGTCTGGGTTGCACTCTCCAGAAGGGTCTGCAAAGTAATAGACACATGAAGATGACTAAGTTCACTGTTACTATGGGTTTACTAAACAAAATGAAATGTTGAGCATGATGCCTAAAGCTCCTAACATTTATAAAAAACACAGTAATCATTACGACCAAAGATAAAATGCTTAAGCTTCACCATAATCATTCTGTTTATTCTATTTTAAAAAAGATTTTTTCCACTAAAGGAAAAAGTGTGAAGGAAAATACCCACACATATTATCACTATAAATTACAGGATGTTAAATTATACAGATGACAAGAAATTAAAACCCTGAGCAAGCAGAATCTGTGTATTTTAAGAGAAAAGGGGAGGTACCTGACCTGGTTTAGAAGGATGTTTTGTATAGTCAAAAACAAGAACATCACTGGATGGAGTCTTTGTTGCAATGATGCAAGGGTTCTGGGGCATATAACGAGCCCTATTTACTTCACCTTCATGGTTGATCTTGATTTCTATTTCAATTTTCCCACTAACTGAGCCAAAACCTCCAAATTCTGTAAATAAAAATAAATTGCAAGTAAGGGTGAGACACAAAACATTCTGCTTGGGTTACACAGAATATGAAGACATAGGCAAAGACTTATCAGTAAAATAGTATATTAGACATTTGTTAGCAATATACAGTGTTTTCATTCTCATCTGACATCAGATAGATATGTTGTTAAATGCCTAATAAGAATTACATTGCTAGGTGTGGTGGCACACACCTTTATTCCCAGCAATGCAGGAGGCTAAGGCCTGAGGATTCCCACATTCGAGATTGGCCTCAACAACTTAGTAAGAAATCAGAAATAAAGAAAATAAAGAAAATTAGAAATAAAGGCCTGAGATGTAGTAACATGCAGCTGCTACAGGGTTTACTCTCAGTAGAACAAAAACACTACCCTGGCCCAAAACAAACAAGTCAAAGTATTTTATTAGTATTTGAAGTTAAGAGAAACTTTCACCTCAAAAGGAGGTTCTTCATAAACACTTTTAAAATCTCATTTAAAGTACAAATAAGGGGGCTGGGGTCGTGGCTCAGTTGGAGAACACTTGCCTTGCACGCATAAGGCACTGGGTTTGATCCACAGCACCACATAAAAATTAATAAAAAATAAAGATATTGTGTCCATCTACAAAGAAAATATCATTAAAAAATTACTTTAAAAAATACAAATACGACAGGTGTGTAAGACTAAGTAATCCCACTGATTTGGGAGACTGAGGCAGAAGTCTGAGGCTAGCCTCAGCAACTTGGCTAAGGATGTGGCTCCATGGTTAACTGTCCCTGAGTTCAACCCTGACACCAAAATAAATACAAAAAGTATGCTGAATAAACTTGGTACTATTTTTGAAAAATATTTTTAGTTGTAGATAAACACAATATCTTTTTTTATTTTCATGTGGTGTTGAACCCAGTGCCTCACACCTGTTAAGCAAGCATTCTACCACTGAGCCACAACCTCAGCCCTAGTTAATTTTATTTATTTTGGGACAGGATCCAAGTTGCCCAGACTGGCCTCAAACTTGCTATTCCCCTGCTTCAGATGAATCACTGGAATTATAGGTGTGTGCAACCACAACAGGCTAATAGTTCCATTATCTTTGTTTTTGGTACTGGGGATTGAACTGGGGGTGTTTAAACACTGAGACACATGCCTAACCCTTTTCGGCATTTTATTTAGACAGGGTTTCGCTGAGTTGCTTAGGACCTTGCTAAGTTGCTAAGTCTGACTTTGAAATCATAGTTTACCTGCCTCAGTCTCCCAAGCTGCTGGATAACAGGTGTGCGCCACTGCGTCCAGCTCCATTTTCTTAACTCCTATTTGCCTTCAATTTTTCAGAACCTCAAATATCCATTAAACAAAGAAGATGTAAAAGTAATAGATGAGGGGCTGGGGACATAGCCCAGTTGGTAGAGTGCTTGCCTCACATGCATAAGGCCCTGGGTTAAATCCCCAGGCACTACCATAAATAAATAAATAAATTAGTAATAGATGAACCAGGTGAAATGGCATACACCTGTAACCCCAGCGGCTGGGGAGGCTGAGACAGTAGGATCACAAGTTCAAAGCCAGCCTCAGCAATAGGTAGACGCTAAGCAATTTAGTGACTCTGTCTCTAATAAAATTCAAAATAGGACTAGGGAGCTGACTCAGTGTTTTAGTGCCCCCAAGTTCAACCCCTGGTACCAAAAAAAAAAAAAAAAAAAGTAATGGATGAAACTGCTGTCAATAATATCGCTACACAGGTGTTACTCTTTGAAGGACAAAAAGCTTCTCAGAAAGCAAAGATGTAAATGGGTAACATTGTTGGCCTTAGATAACTTTCAGCTTCAAAATAACTTTTGTAAGTTTAGAGCATATGTTTCAAAACAAGGTTAAAAGCCCAATAATAAAAGTTTAAAGACTACAGGAGAAGAAAAAAATACATTAACTAATTTTATTCCAAAAACTTGTAACAAAAAGGAAGGCAAAAATAAGGTGTGTCATCATAAGAAACTTTCAGTCTAAGCACACAGTGGTTAAGTACATAACTGTAGAGAATTACCACTACCAAGAAAATATATAATTAAAAAAAAATAGCATGATTGTCAGAAAAGTGGCACCATTCAGGGAAAAGGAAGAGCTGGCAGCATAGAGCCCATAGAACAAGGGTTATTTCAGGATTGGACATATATGGGCCTCACTATAAAACAGTAGCAAGAATTCAGCTTAGAGAATTCAAAATTTGTATTTTGTTTCTTGGTACTGGGGATTGAACATGGGGTGCACCGAGCTATTCCCCAGCTCCTTTTTCTATTTTGAAATAGGGCCTAGCTATGTTGCTGAGGTTGGTTTTGAATGTGTATTCCTCCAGCCTCAGCCTCTAGAGCCCACTGGGATTACAGGTGTGAACCACCACATTCAGTTCAAAATTGAGTTTTAAAGGTCTAGGATTCAACTGGGTATGGTGGTACGCACCTATAATCCCAGCAGCTCAGGAGGCTGAGGCAGAAGGATTACAAATTCATGGCCACCCTCATTAACTCAGGAGGCTCTAAGCAACATAGTGAGACTCTTTCTCAAAATAAAAAATAACAAGGGTTAGGGACATAGCTCAATGGAACAGCACCTCTGTGTTTAATTCCAGGTATGAAAACCTTCCCTTCCAAACAAAACAAAACAACCACCCTCCCCACCCCACCCCCCAAAAAACCCTAGTATTTTTATTTTTATTTTTTTTAGTGTAGTGCTAGTAATTGAATCCAGGGCCTTGCACATGCTAAGAAAGCACTCTACCAATGAGCTACATCCCCAGCCCTATGTATTTAATGTGATTAGAGAAACAAAAGGATCACCAGTTTGAGGCCTGCTCCAGCAATTTAGCAACATCCGATCTTGAATAAATAAAAACTAGGGGTTCCTATGTTTATCCGCATGAGGATCAGTTGATTTATATGGGATTTACTGTATATATTACTGGCTCTTTCTCTTTTTTTTTAAACCTGTTCTTCAAATATGAAGTGTTAGAGGATAAGGTCTCTTCAAAACAAAAGGAAATTTGATGCCACTCAAAGGGAATGTAAGCTTCGCATACTGTGTCCACCTGTAATCCCAAAGGCTCAGGAGGCTGACAGGAGGATTACAAATTCAAGGCCAGCCTCAGCAACTTAGAGAGGACCTGTATCAAAATAAAAAGAGTTGGGGATGTAGCTTGGTGATTAAGTGCCCAGTACTTAAAAAACAGATATGAATGTTCTGCTAATCACGAGAAATCTAAGAAACATTAAACATCTAATATTTATGAAAGTGTTCTATCACTAAGCTACATTCCCAGCCCACTTAAAAAAAATTTTTTTTTTGAGATAAGGTCTAAGTTGCCCAGGCTGGTCTCAAATTTAAGGATCCCTCAGCTGCAGCCTACCAAGTAGCTGGGATTAGAACATACCACTATGCCCAGTATCAACTTGTTTTTCACTGTTGCCTAGCTACAAAACCTTAAAGACAATTTTTCCCGTACCTGATGAATATGTAATACCACAAATATCCAATGTTTGAATATGTGCTAAGTACTTTATATATTCAATGAGCAATTTACACTCACCCAATCCCATGAACCATTTTTTATCTGCTTAGAATATGTCCCCTGATGAGAATGCACAGAAATAACGTTGGTAGATTTCTGGTTCTTTCAATGGTAGAAATTCCCTCATTACCAGTTTAGTAGTGGGAAGTTTACAGAAAAGATACAGAACGAGTATGCGTTAAGTAGTTCTTCTATACTGCAAACTTAGCTCTCCCAAGCATAAATCTTATTTCTAACTTGAGGCTACTTTATCAAATTGGTATCCTTTTACAATAATTCAAAGATATGAAAGATAACCATATGTCATAAATTCTTTCTTGTTTAAGATTCCTACCTCCTTTCTCACTGTCGTAGTGTGATGCATCAAATTGAGCATCATCATTAGGGAGCTGTACACTGGCTATCACAAGGTGGTTTTGCTCATCTGATGTGTGTGTCCCCAAGACAAGTCGATGAATGCTGAAATCTTTTCCTTCTGGTCTGTAACAGCAACAAACAGTCAATATTCAAATTAGTACCATCATCAAGAGAGACTACAAACAGTTATGGAGACCCACTTTCTACATTTACTGCATCTTCCATAAGGTGAAATACAGAGAATATAGTTCCTAATTTATTTTATTTGTATGTTTTTCTAATGTGGTGCTGAGGATTAAACCCAGTGTCTCCCACGTCCAACGCAAGTGCTGTCATTGACCTACAGCCCCAGCCCCCAATTTTTTAAAAAACTATTTTTAGTTGTTGATGGACCTTAATTTAATTTATTTATATGCACTGTTGAGAACTGAACCCAGTGCCTTACGTGCTAGGCAAGCGCTCCACCACTGAGCCATACTCCAAGTCCTAGCACCTAATTTTATAAGCACCTCTAACTTGTTTTAAAATTTAGAATTACTCTGGAGAAAAAGTTTAAAAGAATAAAAAATGAACTATGTACTCTTTACAATGGGCTAAAAGGAAACAAAAGAGGGGTTGGATACTCTAATACTTAATTTATTAAAACCTTTGTTTAAAAGGAGGGGTTGAGCACAACGACATGCCTGTAATCTCAGCTAGAAGGCTCACAAAGAAAATCCAGGTGTGGTAGTGCCCACCTGTTACTCCCAGAACTTGGGATGCTAAGGCAGGATGATTACAAACTCAAAAACAGCCTCAGCAAATCATCAAAACCCTGTCTCAAAACAAAACAAAATGTAGCCCAGTGACAAAGTACTCATGGGTTCAATAAATCCCCACTACCCACCCCCACCAAAAAAAAAAAAGGAGTAGCTTGGGGTATAGCTCAGTGGAAGACCTTAGCATATGCAAGGTCCTGGGATCAATCTTCAGCACCTCAGATCCACCCTAAAAAAGGAAAACTAGGGATGGGGCTGGGGCCCAGTGGCAAAGCACTTGCCTAGCATGTGTGAGGCACTGGGTTCAATCCTCAGCACCACATAAAAATAAACAAACAAAATAAAGCCATTGTGTCCACCTACAACTAAAAAGGAATTAAAAAAAAAAAAAAAAAGGCGGGGGGGCTGGGGTTGTGGCTCAGTGGTAGAGCGCTCACCACACACTGTGCAAGGCCCTGGGTTTGATCCTCAGCACTATATAAAATAAAATAAAGGCTCAAATACAACTAGGTTCAAGTACAACAAAAAAATAAATATTAAAAAATAAAAAATTTAAAAAAAGAACTATGGATGTGACTTAATGGTTAAGCATCCTTGGGTTCAATCCCCAGTACCAAACAAAAAAAACAAAAACCTGGAGGCAATTAGGCAGTCATGTACACAAATAACTAAATATTAGGCAATATATACTATATGAAAGGCACACAAAAATATGGGAGTTTAAGCTGGGAATGGACACAATTTCCAAAAATCTGGATGCTGAGGCAGGAAGATTCCAAGTTTGATGTCAGCTTTGGCAACACAGAGACACTTAAAGTAAAAATTAAAAAATGGCTGGAGTGGTAGAGTGCTTCTGGGTTAAATTTCCAGTACCTCCCAAAAAAGTAAAGAAAGAAAATATGCAGCAATCTAGATTATAAGGAAGCATTCTGGAAGAGACACTAAGATTACAGATACTATGTTAGCCATTTTACATACAAAATTTAAACACCATAATACTATGAATATTATTCCAACTTGAAAACAAAGATATATGACATTGAGGAAAATTGAGAAATCTCTAAGATCACACAACTACCAAGTTAACAACTGGGATAAAATTCCAAATGAAAAGCACAATGGGAGAGAAACCTATAAAGTAGATAAAAACCAGAATCTTTATTGTTTTGAGTGTCAGTTTTAAGGAATTCTAAATTCCATACTGTAGGGAACAAGAAATCATGTAAAGTTTCTAAGCAGTGACATAACTTAATATCATTTGTTTCCTCAGAAGGATTAATTTAACAATGTGAAACAGAGGTTCTTAAAAGTATAGTACTAAGGCCAATAGAACCAGCATCAGCATCACTTGGGAACTTGTTAGAAATGCAAATTCTCAAATCTACTCCAGATCAAATAAATCAGATATTCTGGAAGGTGGGACACAACTGTTTTCTAAGACCTTCAGCTGATTATGCTGCATATTACAATATGAAAACTCCTAGTCTCAATGAGACAGATGCAACACAATTAGGATTTATGAGGGCTTATAAATGACTCCCTGTCAACTGGGTAAACAAAACATAAATGTCAAAATGTCAAATATGGCCAGGCACGGTGGCACATGCCTATAATTCCAGCGACTTAGGAGGCTGAGACAGGAGGATCTCAAGTTCAAAGCCAGCCAGCCTCAGCAAAAGCAAGGTGGTAAGCAACTCAGTGCGACCCGGTCTGTAGATAAAATACAAAAAAAACAGTAATAGGACAAAGCTAGGGTGGAACCTCCAAGAAATGAATTATTCTGTTCAGAACATGTCAAACTGAAGAAATCAATAAATAGGATACTTGAGGCACCAGTAGGAAGCCAAATAACACAAAACATTATCTGAAAGGGCTCAAAAATAAGATATATATATATATATATATATATATGACCACTGAATCCCAGATATTATACAATTTAGCACATGAATATAGTAAATATGACAATACTATTCAAATATTTTTCTCACCAAGTTTTTAAAACTCCCGACAGAAATGATTACTTATCTTGAACTCCAAATACTTCCAACAATCATTGATCAACTGAATGTGGGAATGCCCAATCAGGATAAAGAAGCTTCAAATTCTAAATTTTTTCCTTATGCCACTGTAAAGGAAGCAGCTTCATTCTTGAAAGAATATGGTTATTTAATACAAAATAATTTTTGAATGTTATTCTGAAAAGTGAAGCAATTATAACAGGCACTTGTTTTTTTTTTTTGATGATACTGAGGACTGATCTCAGGGACATTCTATTGTTGAGCTGTACTCCATCATTTTTATTTTTTTGAGACAGCATCTCATATTCCCAGACTGACCTAAAATTTGTGATCCTCCTGCATCAGCCTCCAGAGCCCCTGGGATTACAGGCATGTGCCATGGTGTCCAGGTAGGTACAGCACATACCAATCATCTATATCCACCATACCTTTGCACTGTTACTTCCTTCTAAAAGTCAGTCCCGACACTCCAAAGTTAAGGTATATTTTTCTTGCTCTGATCACATCTGTGCCACTCTTGAAATAATTCTGATTTATTTGTGTCCATTGATATGTGGACCCTAGCAGAGCCTCAATAAATGCAAGCCAAACTAAATGATATGCTATCCCCTATATCAGAGGCAAGCTACCTGGGTAAGAAATATATGTGAGGGCTGGGGACATAGCTCAGTGGTAGAGCATCCCTGAGTTCAATCCATAATACTAGGGGGAAAAAAATGAATGTATGTGATTAGTCTCATAATCCTCACTGTGCCCAACACCCAACTTCCTTTTACGAAAACCATATTATGGGGCCTGGGCCTGTAGCTTAATGGCAGAGCGCTTGCCTAGCATGCATGAAGCACTGGGTTCAATCCTCAGCACCACATATAAATAAACAAAATAAGGGAGGGAGGGAGGAAGGAAACCATACTATGACACCTCCAGGTATTTTTTTGTTTTGTGTCCTAGGTCATTAAGGATCCAGCCCAGGGTCTTGCTGGATGTGATCTACCAATTAAGTATTTATCTCCAGCCTCCATCAAGGATGTTTTCTAAGTATCCTAATTATCTTTCTATAATTGTTCTCATTCTACGTCGATATAATTACCAGTTGACATCTACCTCTTCAACCAGACCACGTATTGTTTATAGGTAGGTCCCATATTCCTCTTTGCATTAAGCAGCTATGGACTGTGAAAATTCATTCGGTTTGTTGAAGACATTGAGCTTAGACTGCTTACTGAAACTTATCAAGTTTTGTAATTTGGTCAACTACAGTTGTAATACGGCTATTCAATTCAGTATCACAAAAAGAAAATACCAACATATTTTTCTCTCTCCAGGTAAATTCCAAAATAATTTACATTTTGCCATATTTTTCCCCAAAGATCAAAAAACGTCACTAATGGGCTTTGATCACATGCCCTCTTCAAGGGACTGGAGAAATCAACGTAACGTTCAAGAGATTCATGTCACCTGGTTACATCTGGAAGCCACTGTGCTGTTAGGCTGGGCCACTCCAGAGCATGGGTCATCACCAAATCATAAAGAAAAGGGGTGTTCTTTTTCCATATTTTGTACTCCTCGTTGATCACGCGTTCTTCCACTGCGTCGTCAAAGGCTGCTAAAATTTTTAAAACAAATTAAGTTAGAGAACAGAAACGGAAAACAAGTAAACCTCTCCAAAGCTACCAGTGGCTTCTTCCCTCCAGACCCTGGAAAGGAGGGTTGTGTCCGGTGTTCCCAGGAGCAGTCACCAAACAACGCCGCCCTCTACCTCCGCGGGCCGGAAGTCCCGGCTATCCGAGCCAGCACTCCGTTACCCATTCGAGGCGACGGCGCAAGGCCTTCGAAGCACGCTTGCGCGAATAGTCTGGAAGACCGGCGAGGAGGCGCGTCACCGGGCCTTGGGTAGGGAGCGAGGCAGGCGGGCCCGGGAAATAGGCTGAGTGGCCGACAGGGAGTGTGAGGAGGGACGCACACCCCTAGGCCTCCCACTGCCAGCTTCGCTCCGCGGTGACGAGCTTTGGCTCCTGAGAAACTGGAGCGCGCCGTTAGCCCGCCCCGCGGGGAGCTCCCTCCTCACGCCAGCGTTGCTGGAGCTTCGCTCGGCACCATTGGGCCTGTCGCTGATGTTAGGCCGTATGGAGGCCGCAAAGTAGCCCAGACACCCGCCGCCCTCACGGGGCGTCTCAGGCACCCTCACCTTCCTTGTCGGCCATGGCGGCAGGAGAGCCGGGGGTATTCCGGGGTCGAGCGTTGCGGGAGGGGCGGGGAGCCTGCGAGCGCTAGCTCCGCGCGCGCGGCCTCTATTGTTTCCTGCGGCCCCTGCGTGAGGGTCGACTCGCGCACCTTCGCGCCAACGTCGGCCAATCGGAGTGCATCCAACAGCGGGGTGGGCGGGGCAATCCCATTCTCGGCCTATCCCGACGCACTGAGTCTCTTTCCGCGGGTCCGATGAGCGCGCTCCGCCCCATCTGTCCCCACACCGCGGGAGCGGACTTCCACTGACTGCGCGCGCGCCCGGGCTGATGGGATTGTGCCCGTTCAGGTCACGTGAGAAGTTTAGTCCACACATTCCCGGAGGCAGCCATTTTCTTACGGGCTGTTACGCTCACGTTCAGAATATTTATGTCTGGAATGCTTCAGGTTCTAATTATCAACTCTGGGTGCCAGGCGGAAAGACAAGGTCTCACCACTCAGACGCAGAGTTGTCTAATTTAAGGTGTTCTTCAACTTGCTTAATCTTTAGAAATAACTAGTGATAGGCTGGGGTTGTGCTCAGTGGTAGAGCGCTAGTTTAGCATGTGGGAGGCACTGGGTTCGAACCTCAGCACCACATAAAATAAAAGTAAAGGTCCATCAACAACTAAAACTAGTGATAAATACAGAAGGTGGGGCCTTGTTTTTTAACCATGTGATCCAAGCGTCCAGTCCTAGAATGGAAGTCTCAGGGGTTAACGTCCTTCCGCAAGCTCCGAGAATGGAGTCCGGGGCCTTTAAGACGCGTGCCAAGGGGCGGGGTTTACGGCGGAAGCAGTAGCGCCCGGCCGAAGTTCGGCAGAGGAAGGGCGGAAGTAGAGTGTACACTCCTGCGATCATGGCGCAGGAAAGAGAAGATGTTAGAGATTACAATTTGACTGAGGAGCAAAAGGCGATCAAGGCCAAGTATCCTCCAGTCAATCGGAAGTACGAATGTGAGTAGATGGCTCACTTCTCTATTCAAATATGGGCACAGGGGCATGCCTGATTCCTTACCTGCAGCTTCCTTCCTCACCTCTACTTTGCCCCTAGGTGCTCGGGCATCAACTCTTTGTGCCCTGTGTGCGCCCTGTATTGTATCTTTGGATTTGTCCTAGAAGGCCACCTGGTTTAGGAGTCAGGAAACCTGAGCTTCCACATTTACAGTCTCTTAACTTCCTCAAGCGCCTGATCACATTTATGAGTTTTACTAGTGCGCCAATTATAAAAGTAATTGGGTTTTCAAGAGTTTCGTGTTTGACTTTATATCTAGTAACCGTGGGACAGTTAAAGAGTGTGGCAAATGTAGAGAACTGGGAAAACTAAGATGGGCAATTGTAACTTGGTGTTTTACCTCTTTTTTTTTTTTTTTTTTTTGTAACCAGGAATTGAACTCAAGAGGCCTACTGAGCCACGCCCTTTTTAATGTTTTAAGTAAAGACAGGGTCTTTCTAAATTGCTTAGGGCCTCACTAAGTTGTCCGAGGCTGACTTTGATCTTGTGATCCTCCTGCCTCAGCCTTCCAAGCCTTAGCCTTTCTAGCTCGCTGGGATTAAAGGCATGTACCAGAGACCCAGAATTTACCTGCATCGTGTTTATAAAAGAACCTGGTTTTGCCATTTGTTAGTGACTTTAAGCAAATTATATTGCCTATTTTATGTCTCAGTTCCTTCATCTAAGAAATAATGTTAACTGGAGGTGTAATGTGCTTTATGGCATGCAGAAGACCTTGGATTCAATCTTCAGCACCACAAAAATAAGGAAAGTGAAAGGATAGTTCAGTCTCTTAAATTCTGTATTAGCTGTTATCCTACAGGTGGCTATGGTGGGGAGTGCAAATTTAATTCATTTATCTTCTTAAAATCTTTTATTTTTTCGGGCGGCACCCACTGCTACTCCCAGTGACTGGGGAGGCTGAGGCAGGAGAAACTCAAGTTCCTAGGCCAGCCTTAGCAATTTCGTGAGGCCCTAAGCAATTTAGGGAAACCTGTCTCTAAATAATAAGGTCTGGGGATCCGTGGTAAAGCGCCCATGGGTTAAATCCCCAGTGCAATCAATAAGTAAATAGAGGAGTAGGAAGTGTAGGTCAGTGGTAGAGCACCCCAGGATTAAATCCTCAGTGCTGCAGTAAATAAAATATGTACAACTACCACATCATTTTTGCATCTGTGCATTCTTAACCCAGCATATCTCCCTTGCTCTTGCCCTTTTCTCACTTAAAAACAATTTAAAATACTATATGATTAAAAAAGTGGTCACTACTTCCGAGACTGAGGCAGGAGAAACACATGAGTCCTCCAAGTTCCAGATGACCTGGGTGACAAAGACCAAAAAACACCAAAAAAAAAAAAAAAACCCCAAAAACCCAACAATAACAAAAAGCAGGTATGCAGTGAAAAATAACTCTCGTAGCTCTGATCCCATGTTTTAGTCCCTGTTTCTAGAGCAACCTTGGTCACTTTGCATACACAAATGTTCTAGCATTTTCTCTGTTTAACCAATTTCTAGTTGGCAGACATTTAGGATATTTCTATGCTTTTCCATTTTTGCAATGGGGCTTGAACCCAGGAGTGCTTAGCCACTGAGCCACATCCCCATCCCCAGTCCCCTTTCCTTTTATTTTGAGATGGGAATCTCACTAAGTTGCTTAGGGCCTCACTAAATTGCTGCAGCTGGTCTCAAACTTGTTATACAGCCTCAGCCTCCCTGTAGCTGGAATTACAGGCTTGTGTGGCCAAGTCTGGCTGAGCCTTTTTAAATAGTCTCTGTTAAAAATGGAGAATGTAAATGATGGGAGGGAAGGGGAGGAGTAGGGGAGATAGGAAGGGCAATAGAATAGAATAGACATTATGATTGCTGTATGTATATAGGTGGCTCTATGACCAGTGTGATTCTGCAATCTGTACAATTAGAAAAGTGAGAAATTATACCCCAGTGATTCAAATGTATGAATTGCCAAGATCATTGTAATGTCATGTGTAGCTAATAAAAAAAATTAAATTAAAAAAAATGGAGCATGTGCGGACTGGGATTGTGGCTCAGCGGTAGGGCGCTCGCCTAGCATGTGTGAGGCCCTGGGTTCAATCCTCAGAACCACATAATAAATAAATAAATAATTTGAAAGATGGAAAATATGCATAAAGTGTTTTTGCTGTGTATCAAAGTATTGATGTTCATCTTGAGGAAAAGAACTTGTGTAATTGTGAGGTTTTGTCGCAGAACACAATTCTTCAGCTGTTGTTATTCAGACTTGGGTATTTGACATGAATTTTCTTTTCTTTTTTTTT